TCATTAATTATTATTTTTGAACCACAGTTAATAATGTTTATTTATTTTTAATAAAATTAAAATTTAATATTTATTTATATTTTTTAAAATTAATATTAAAAAGAATATTTTAAATAAAGATGTGATATTTTTAGCTTTACATTATATTTTTATTAAATTTTATTCATTTTAATTCATTTTTATTATATTTTTATTTATTTTTAAAAGAAGTAAATAATAATTAATTTGATCTCTTAATTGTAATTAAAAGTTTATTTTAATATTTTTAAACAATTAATTTTAAAAGTCAATAAACATTATTAACTGTTGTTAAAAATAATATCACAAAAAAATAAATAGATAAAGTTGATGTTTTTACACATATATCACAAAAATTAATTCATATTAGGCACAAAAATTAATTACATATTAGGCACCAGTTTAAAAATATTTACAAAATTAGTACCCGAATTTTTTACACTTTTAACAAGGCACGCTGTAGGGCGCACGCCTTACCCCACATGGCGCCATATCAACCTAAAGCGCGGTGCAAGAGGTGTAATTTACTGCAAAGGATGTTAGATCAAAAAATATAGTTTGAACGATGTGTGACAGAGAAATATATAGGTGTAGGGTATTTTTTAGGGAAATCACCCATAAAAGAGGAAGAACAAAAAAATTCCAACGAACTAATAAATGGAGAAAGAAAAATAATAAATTTGATGAAAAAAAGCGAAAAGAATGGCGAGCTTCGGTGGAGATGTCTAACATACGAGCACTTTAATATACAATTAAAGAAATTTATTATTAGAAATATTAATATTTTTAATATTTTTGATAAAATGTTACTAAAAATATTATTTTTTAGCGAAAATATTAATATTAGGTGATACCTAAAATATTTAACAATTTTTGGGTAAAATTTTACCTAAAATATTATTTTTTTCAACCGAAAATATTAATATTGAACCATACCTAAAAATTAAATATCTAAATTAACATTTTTGGTAAACAATAATATTTTATGTAACATTTTATTAAAAATATTAATATTTTTGATAAAATATTTCTTTAATTATATATTAAAACTGCATAACTACCGTTTTGGTAGGCTAAATCTACGAGATAATGTGTTGGAATTATTTATTTCACGAGATAACGTTCTCCCAAGATTAATTGCTGAAGTATGACGAATTGCACAGTGTTGGTCGTAGGTCGCCATGCCTTCCGGGCGACCTACGACGTGACAGCTTCAGACGTCCCATGCACAACCCAACCCATAGGTCGCCATGCACTCCTAGCGACCTCCTAGGTCGCCATGCACGACCAACGAGGTCGCCATGCACGCCCGGCGACCTTGTCTCCTTGCATAGCCATGTGATATTTCTGCACGTCCCGCTCTATGGATGCAACGCATGCATGAGGGAGCAGAGGGCTAAAGCTTGGTCGTCGGGCAGGAATCTCCCAGCTATGACATGCAGGGCGTGCAAGGGTTAAAAGCTTGGTCGCTGGGCATGCATGGCGACCTCCTTGGTCGCTCGGAGTGCATGGCGACCTAGGAGATCGCTGGGAGTGCATGGCAACCTATGGGTTGGGTTGTGCATGTCCTATGCACACGATCATTCCCTCGTCGGAAGCTGCCACGTCGTAGGTCTCCCGGAAGGCATTGCGACATACGGCCAACACTGTGCAATTCGCCCTACTTCAACAATTAATCTTAAGAGAACATTATCTTGTGAAATAAATAATTCTAACACATTATCTCATATATTTAGCCGTTTTGGTGGGTATCACATTGAGAAAAAAAGAAAACCCAAAACAAAATAAATTAAATGAAAATCTTTTTCAAATATTAATTTACGAATTTCATTTAATAGAGAAGTCTCTACTTAGATCACGGCATCTGCTCTGCCAGCCTCACTGTGACGTCCGCCTCCCGCCGCTCTTTTTCCACCGGCTATTTCCGGTCAACCTTTAACTCTTCTCCTTTCTTTCTCTTCATTATTAGCACGCTCTTACCCAATCACGTGCTTGACACTCTCCTATTCTGATCCGTTGCGTTTTTAGATTTTTTATTTATTTATAGATAAACTATTATATTGATCATTTTTCTTTCACATTTGTGTACTTTTAAACATTAAATTTAAAAAGATTATAGTTTTATAGTTTATATTATCAATTTATTAAATTTTAATCACTTATGTTATCTATTATTATATTTTAATCACTAAATTATTAATTTTGGTTAGTTTGATTATGTGTCATGTTAGTAAAAGGAGTTAATTTTGAACTTCTGATAAAATATCAATTTGATCCCTAAAATTTTGATAAATTCCTTTAAAACTTTACAACTCACATCATAACTTTGATATCAATTGTTAAGAATTTGTAAGCGAAAAATAAACAATAAGAGATCAACATAGGAACAAGACACACACAAGAGACGATATTTAATGTGATTCAACATTATCTATTTCTATGAACAAGATAAATAAATAATCAACTATAAGGGTAGAGATCATAAAAAATATAAATACATGATATCTAAGGGAGGATATAAGGCTTGTACAGGGTGGGCACGTGCCCATCTTAGAATTCAAAATTTCTTTTTTATATGTGTTGTCCATTTTAGTATTGGTCTCTACCCTGAAATTTTATTTGTGTCAACCTCATATGAAATATTTTTTTATTAATATATGTGTGTCTACCATAAAAATATTTATGAATCTGTCACTGATGATACATTATGTATCATATAACTTTTTATCTCTCTCTATATATATATTCCAAAGCTCAATGTATCTCGAGAGGCTCTTCTATCATCAATATAAAATTATCTTTACAACAAAAATCTCAAAAGTTACATAGATCTCAACAAAGATCACATCTATTCAAAAATAATTATCTCATAATTTTAAACGTTAATACCTTCTATTTTTTTTAAAAAAATTAATCTTTAACAAACTTGTGGCTTTGCTCACGCCTATATATCACTTTTTTTTTGTTGCCATTACAGTTCTAATGCTTTGTCTTACATGAGTTTTAAATAGCAGGACGTAAACGAAATAGTGATCGTTATTTCGTGGTCGCGTCGTCGTTTGAAATTGATATTGAAGAATTTAGCGGTGGACAATAAATTCATAATGGTCTGTCACGCCCGTAATTTAATGGTTAACAGTAAATAACACCAATAACAAGACGCTATGACTGTTTTTAACCGTTATTACAAAAAAAACCTTAAAAGAGTTGGAATTTTCACCCCCAAAAAACAACTGGAATTCTCACCCCAAAAAACAACTAGGGAAAGAAACTTGGATGACCATGTTTATTGTTGCACAGTGACACCACCAAAGAATATGGTCGAGTGGACGCTCAATGAAATTCTGTGAAAATAAAAGGTTGAAAATAGAGAGATTTGGACTTGGAGAGAATTCACATAAAGGTTGAGAATCGGGATATTTGGACTTGGAGAGAATTAGACAGAAGAGCTTCTGAATTTTCTTTAACACGTTATGTTTGGGTTTTAACTCAAAAAAACAAAAGGTAATAGTTTAGGTCGTCCACTCCCACTCCCACTCCCATTTCCCCTTATTTTATTTTTTTAAATAAATTCTAAAATATTTTTTCAAGTGATATGTTAATTTGTTATCTTTATCTTTTAAAATTTATAATTTAATCCTTACTTTAAAATGTAAAATTTTGTTTATACAATTGTTTCTATTTCGAAGTAAACACGAGACATTCAGTACTCCACAAGCACAAAGAGCTTGGAATCAAATGAATACGAGTAAATCGTTAATTAAATTATTTACTTTATATTATTTAATTATATTATACATCTTATTCCTTTTAAATAATAATGTATTCACAATGTAATCACTCATCATTAATTATCTTATTCTATTGTCGGGTTTTTAAAATTTTATATTTGGTTAAACTATATTATATATATATATATATGTGTGTGTGTGTGTCATTTTCGTTTAGAAAACATTCTAAAAATCATTAAAAATTACTCATTATAATTATAATTATTATATTTTAGGATAAGTTGTGCGAAATTTAAAAAAATTCACGACCGCGACACTTACAGTGACCGCGATGGCATCTGTAATGTTCACAACCGCGATAATCGTGACGTGACCGAAATTTGGTTAAACTATATTATATATATATATATATATATATATATCATTTTTGCTTAGAAAATATTCTAAAAATCATTAAAAATGACTCATTATAATTATAATTATTATATTTTAGGATAAGTTGTGCGAAATTTAAAAAAAATCACGATCGCGACACATGCAGTGACCGCGATGACATCCGTAATGTCCACAACCGCGATAAACGTGACGTGACCGAAAATATGACCGCAAACGCTATTTAAATCCTTGGTCTTAACTAATTCGGATCGACTCGTGTTATATACCTCTCTTTTCGAGCAAGAATTTTTCACATACACAAAAATTTAAATTCAAAACCTTACTTAAAAGATATCAAACTACTTTATCACTCTATTCTTTTACGTGCCCACCCCCTAAATCACTTCAATCACTCACCATTTATAACTCGTACAACATAAGTATTTTAAATAACAATATATAAGTAGAAAATCGGGAAAAAAAGTTTGAGAATGTGGCTTAAATTCGAATAAAAAGCTGAAAATATTTAGGAAATAGTAATAAAGGAGAAAAAACGAATTAAAATTTGAATAAAGTAGGACAAATTTACATATTGTTTCATTCCCTTGTTTAAGAAGTGGTGTTCACGCGCTCGAAACAATGAGTGAGGGTAGAATCTAGGTTAAGGTCCAAGTTAGACCGCACCCACAAAATCATGTCCAAACCTCATCACCATCGTTCCAAGACAGCGAAAATAAAACGAGACAGACAAAAGTAGGTATTGACAATAAGAAGAAAAAAAATAAAACAAAGTAAAAAAATCTGTAATATTTTTTGTTTCAAAAGTCAGCTCTGATGTCCTCATATTTCAGATCACTCTCCCAAGTGTACCTTATTGTTTCTTTGTTTCTTGTTTTGTTTTGTCCAATAAAATATTGATTCTCTCCCTCTCTAAGGAACTTTCCTTTCCTTTCTTCTTTCTTCTTTTTCCCTAAATTTTTTATTTAATTTTGATTTGAAATGTCTTCCTCTTTAAGATATGTCGTATTCTTTTGCTTTGAAAATCAAAATCAGAGAGTGAAAGAATTGGTTTTGAAATTAGTCTGTTAAGTGACCCTTTTTTAGAAGAAAAAAAGTTGGTCAGTGTTGCATTATTAATTCGAGTGTTGGGTTCTTAGTAAACTATTACTTCAACAACAAGTGAAGCTACAAAGAGTTATAGATAGCAAGCTTTAGGCTTCTCAGCTTCCCCCCCCCCTTTTCTTTGTTGCTGGTTTTTCGGTATTGGGATCTGATTTTCCTTTTCTTTTTTAGTTCAAGAGATTCGATCTTTGCTACTATTTTAAGTTACTGATTTACTTGGAAGGTGCTTATCTGAAGCGGGTTTCTCTCATTATTCTCGAAGAAGTGCTGCTTTTTGTTAAAAATCTGGGCTTCTGGCAAGTGTTTGTAAGTTATTTGTTGTTGGTTTTTTGTTCCTGTAGTTTTTGAGATATTGTTCTTCGAGATTTGAGTAAAGTTGCTTCGTTTAGGAGTTTTCTTTTTATTTTTTTCTTCTTCTTACTGTTTTAATGAATACACTCTCATGTGTGAACTTAAATTCAGAATTACTTGATTCATGGTCTTGGGATTTGTTTTTTTCTCTTTCAGGTTGGGATTGTAGATTTCATTATAATTTTCCATTGTTGTTAGCTTCATTTCCCAGTTGCCAAGTTGAGTTATTTTGCTGGATATGTGAGCAAGTAAGTTACTTTATCTGGGTTTTCTTTCCTCTTTTTTCCTTTGAATCTTCAAAGCATTGAACATAATTGATACCATATTGAATGAATTTGTAAATTTAAGATTTTTTTTTCCTCTCTTCTTTTTCCAGAATGGCGGTGTTGGGGTTTAATCTAATGAGTTTCCTTAATTGGGTGTTCTTGGCTTGCTTTATCTGTACATCACTGAGCCTCGAATCCTCAGACCAAGCTTGTGATCCAAATGATCTGTTGGCATTGAAAGAATTTGCTGGGAACCTCACAGAAGGGTCCATCATCAATTCATGGTATAATGAATCTGATTGCTGCCAATGGGATGGTGTTGTTTGTGGGAAAATGAGAAACGTTTCAGCTTCTAATCGAGTTACTGGCTTGACTCTACCTAGAAGGGGTCTAAGAGGGAAAATTTCGATCTCTTTGGCCAGATTAGATCGGCTTAAAAGGCTCGATCTTTCTTTAAATCATCTGACGGGTGTTTTGCCTTTGGAGCTTTCGAATTTGAAGCAGCTTGAGTTCCTTGATTTGAGCTACAATTTGCTGTCTGGACTGGTTTCTAAACCAGTTTTTGGTTTGATATCGATTCAGTGGCTGAATATTTCAAGCAATTTATTCAACGGAGACCTGTCTGAGCTTGGACGGTTTCCGGATGTCGCTGTGTTCAACTTGAGCAACAATTCGTTTACAGGCCGACTTGGTTCTGGAATCTGTAGTTACTCCAAACGGATTCAGGTTCTTGATTTATCGATGAATCACTTGGTGGGGAGTATTGAAGGCCTAAGCAATTGCAGTATATCTCTACATCAGTTGCATTTGGACTATAATTCACTGTCAGGTGATCTTCCCGACTCTTTGTACTCTATGTCCTCGTTGGAGCGGCTCTCGATCACTGGGAACAATTTCTCTGGACAACTGAGCATCAAATTGAGTAAGCTCTCGAGGCTTAAATACTTGGCTATTTCTGCAAACCACTTTTCTGGTAGTATTCCTGATGTTTTTGGCAATCTTGTACAATTGGAGCTGTTTTGTGCACAATCGAATTTGTTTTCGGGTCCATTGCCATCATCCCTGTCACTGTGCTCGAAGCTTCATGTGCTTGATCTCCGGAACAATTCATTAACCGGTCCTCTTGATCTTGATTTCACTGGACTGCCTAATCTTTCTTTACTTGATCTTGCTACCAACCACTTTGCCGGTCCTCTTCCTGCTTTGCTGTCCAATTGTAAAGAGCTGCAGGTTTTGAGCCTGGCAAAGAACGAATTCAGTGGCCGGATCCCTGAGAGCTTTGCCAATCTCAGATCACTTGTGTTTCTCTCACTGTCGAATAATAGTTTTGTCGATTTATCGGGGGCTTTATCTGTGCTGCAGCAATGCAAAAACCTTACCATTCTTATCCTCACAAAGAATTTATATGGAGATGAAATTCCCCGAAATGTAAGTGGGTTTGAGAGCTTGGCGGTCTTGGCACTTGGAAATTGTGCTTTGAAAGGTCAAATACCAGATTGGCTGTCCGGTTGCAAGAAGCTCGAAGTTTTAGATTTGTCATGGAATCACTTAAATGGCAGTATCCCGAGTTGGATTGGTCAGATGGAGAATTTGTTTTACTTGGACTTCTCAAATAACTCTCTCACCGGAGAAATCCCGAAGAGTTTGATACAGCTAAAGACCCTGGTTTCTTCAAATTCGAGCTTAGCCACTCTTTCGTCCTCTGCCGGGATCCCCCTCTATGTAAAGCGAAATCAGAGTGCTAGCGGACTTAAATACAACCAGCTTTCAAGTTTCCCCCCATCATTATTTTTGAGCAATAATAGATTGAATGGGACAATTTTCCCTGAAATCGGGGTGTTAGAGCAGCTCCATGTCTTTGATATAAGCCGGAATAACATCACCGGTGTCATCCCTGCTTCCATTTCCAACATGAAGAACTTGGAGATTTTAGATTTGTCGAACAATGACTTGCACGGGACAATCCCACAGTCGTTTGCGGAGCTCACATTTTTGTCAAAATTTAGCGTGGCGAATAATCACTTGCAGGGTGTGATTCCTTCCGGTGGACAGTTTTATAGCTTTCCGAGCTCAAGCTTTGAGGGAAACCCTGGACTTTGTGGGAAAATAGTGTCTCCTTGTCATGTTATGGACAATATGCTCAAGCCAGCTATCCCTTCTGGCTCAAACAACAAATTCGGTCGAAGCAGCATTCTCGGAATAACGATCAGTGTAGGAGTTGGGATATTGTTGCTTCTTGCTATCGTTCTTCTTAGAATGTCGAGGAGGGATGTGGGTTATCAAATCGATAATTTAGATGAGGAACTCAGCAGGTCACACCGGTTATCTGAAGCTATTGGTTCATCGAAGTTGATTCTCTTCCAAAGTTCGAACTGCAAGGAGCTCACTGTTACGGACTTGTTAAAGTCTACAAACAATTTTAATCAAGCGAACATAATTGGTTGCGGTGGCTTTGGACTGGTTTACAAGGCCTACCTTCCGGATGGTACAAACGCCGCAGTCAAGAGACTTTCCGGTGATTGTGGCCAGATGGAACGTGAATTCCGAGCTGAAGTTGAAGCTCTTTCGAGAGCTCAGCACATGAACCTTGTTTCTCTTCAAGGTTATTGTAAGCACGGGAACGACAGATTATTGATTTACTCTTATATGGAGAATGGAAGCTTGGATTATTGGTTGCACGAGTGTGTCGATGGATCGTCGGTTCTCAAATGGGATGTGAGACTCAAGATAGCTCAAGGAGCAGCTCGTGGGCTGGCGTACTTGCACAAGGTTTGCGAACCACATATCGTTCATAGAGACGTGAAATCTAGCAACATACTTCTAGACGAAAAATTCGAAGCACATTTAGCGGATTTCGGTCTCTCAAGGCTACTTCGCCCGTACGATACCCATGTCACAACAGATTTGGTCGGAACATTGGGTTACATTCCTCCAGAGTACAGCCAGACGCTGACCGCAACCTGCAGAGGAGATGTTTACAGTTTCGGAGTCGTTCTTCTCGAACTTCTTACAAGTAGAAGGCCCGTGGAAGTATGCAAAGGAAAAAACTGCCGGGATTTGGTGTCGTGGGTGTTTCAGATGAAAGCCGAGAAACGAGAGTCCGAGATTATAGATTCATCATTATGGGACAAGGATCTCGAAACACCACTATTAGAAATGCTCGAAATCGCCTGCAAATGCTTAGACCAGGATCCGAGGCGAAGACCCTTGATCGATGAAGTTGTTTCAGGGCTGAATAGCATCGGAAACGAGGCTGTTCGACAATGAAAACTCCGTCGAGTTGTTTACTCTTTGAAAATCTTAGCCGGGAGGGTATACCTGTAAAGCAGAAATCATCGAAGTTTGGAAGGATTACTGACCAAATCACTTTGATTTGTCCCAAAAAAAAACCTTATGCCATTGTGTACTAACGTTCGAGAGTTTGTATACATGTGATGTTTAAGCCATTTCTTCTATCTGCAATAAGCAATTATAGAATATCTAATTATCAGTGTTTAGCATTAAACCCTTCTTTGATTGTCCTATCTATACATTTTCACCAATGATTTGGTAGTTCCAGAAAATAGAAGCTCATTGCTTGAAGTTGTATTTCATTAGTGGATATATATATAAAATTTTCCCATCTTTTCCACCTTTTATGGGAAAGAGTTTAGGGGTGGGACTTGTTGTGTGTCAAACAAATGGTGTTTGAGACAAGGATTCTCCTTTTTTGACTTTCTTTGTATCGTTTAACAAGAGCTAAACAGTAATGTAAACAGAAAGAATAGTGTAAGGCACTTTGTTCATTAGTGGGATAAGGTTAGGAGTTAGAATAGTGAAAGAATGAAAATTTTGTAGTTAGGGAAATAGGGTGAAACATTTTCAAGCACATCTTTTGAGAGGATGTGGATATCTCAAGACACCCTTAAAAACAGCTATGCAAACGTGCTTTTTTCCTTTTATTTCGGTCCCTTGGTTCAAAAACATGTAAGATCAATTAAGTCAAAGAGTTGTTGGGAAAATTAACTATATAATTCAGGACATGTTTTATTTTGTTTTTTCCTTCACTAGAATGGATCGACTATGAAATAAAAGGAATATTAACTATACAAGCATTTCTTTTATTTACAGATCACATGTTATGCATTCAATAATTAAATAAAAATATCAATCAATTCATAGCTGTCGATGTACACATCTCAAACGCTTTCACCTACTTCTTTGTCCATGGTGGCTTTGGGGTTTTTCTAAAATGGGAAGAAACTTCATTTTCCACTTGTGTTTCTTTTTTCCTTCATGATTGTTCAAGAGACAATGGAGTTGTCTTATTCACAGAGATGTTAATGCTTCCTATGGCCCTGTAGGACACATATAATAGGAAATTAAATGTCTATATGGTATATGCTGGTAGGTCAATTTGGTCGAATATGGCATATAAACTATAAAGAAATCGGGATTAATGAAATGAGATAATATCAGGAATGGCCCCTGTATTTTAGTCAGTGTTTTAATCCGGTGTGTGTACTTTAAAAATGATCCGAGTTTTGGGAAACAGAATGATTAAGCTTTATTAATTTAGTGGTAAAGGAGGGATAGAGACAGGAGATTTTTCAAATGTGTTTATGATCACTGCTGCTTCTAATTTCAACGGGGAAACCATGATTATGCTCGTGAAAATGGGAAAAGGGCCAGGGAAAAAGACTTTGTTTGCTTCTCTTTCTTATTGGGTGCCTTTTTCTTTAATTTCTCAATCATTGTATCCATTCAATCAAACTCATCTGCTTCTTTCATTTTTTTATCTCTTTTATTGTAATTTTATCCATTCAATTAAGGAAGTTTTAATTTAATTTATCTAACTTTAATATATATGTTAAAATAAATGTAATTCTACAAATTTACATGAAATATAGACATGTTTAGGGTATACACATTTAGTAATTAAACTATTAATTTTAATCCGTTTTAGTATTAATTTTTTAATTTTTTTAAAATCATATTTTAGTTTTTATTTCATTTTAATATCCCATTAAAAACTTAGAGTTAAGTTTTGAAAAATTTGAAAGTTTAGGTATTCAAAATAGATCAAAACTAATAGTTTATGTACTAAACATACTATGTTTTAACGATGGATACTAAAATGAAACAAAAAATAAATGTTATGCATGATTTTAAAAAATTTAAAAGTTTAGGTATTAAAACGGATCAAAACTGACAGTTTAGATACTAAACATGAAATTTACTCATATTTTTCATATATCAAATTAAAGTTATCTTATATATATATATATATATATATATGATCCTATTACACAATGTAAAAATCTTTTAGTTTTATACAGATATAGGACCGTTAGATTAGTAAAAATATATGATTGAGATTAACAGTAGGAAATGAGAAGGTGTTCACTGAAAAGAACAATAAGTCAATCTCAACCATATATTTTCACTCATCTAACGGACCAATTATCCTAAATCTGTGTAAAACTAAAGAATTTTATATTGTGTAAGTGGATCTAACTATATATATAATTTCATTAAAATGGTTGTCCCTTGTTCCCATATGTAATGGGGTAAGGGGGAGGTAAGATAGTAGGCTGCCCCCAACATATCTTAAATTTATTTGACATCAAATTTAAACTAGCATTTAACTTCAAAACTAATAATTATGTCATAATAGTAAATTTTCTCCCAAATGTGTGTATAAATGGTCACTTTTTCTCTTAATTTTGTGGAGCATTTTAACTCAACGTTTAATTTTGGAGCAAAATGTCTCCTTGGTGAATGAAAATTGTTAATTCAATAACGTTAACGCTTCCTATTAATGTGACATGTCAACGTGTAATGCATGTCATCAAAAAATATTTGTAAACTATTTTTAAATATATTTTTATAAATGTATATATAATTAACTATAATTATGATTTATTTTAAAAGTATTTGTTTTGTTAAAGTAACATCACATATGAACTTGTCATATTTGTATGAAACATTAACATTTAGTGAATTAATAATTTTAATCCAATCATGAAACATTTTACTTCAAAATAAACTGTTCTAAGCTAAAATCCTCTGGAAAAAGAATAAGATATTCATAAAATGATATAATTAATTCATTTTGAAGACTCAACTAGAATATTTTAAGATTTCAGATTAACTTATAAACTAACAATATACCTTAAAAATGAAAAAAAATGTGATAATTTGGGCTGAATAGGCCCAATTCAAGCATTCTAAAACCAAGACTGTGAGTCCATCCAAAATGAAATTATCAAACCCCGAACCCTTAATCATGGATCAAAACCACCGCTCCGCTACCTATAACCATCAAACCAAAACCAAAACCCTAAAACCAGCTTGGGAGAAAAAAAGCAGACAAAAACAAAATGAGTCATCCTCAACTTGTCGTGCAACGACCGAAACGTGTCCGGTTCCCCCCAGATGTCACTCTTTTAACACGACAAATTTCCCGTTGTTCTTTTGACTCGAAAACAAGAAAGTACAACTGGGAACCCAAGAGGTGAAGGAGAAATATTAATAGTTTCAACCAACAACAAAAAAAGAGTAATGAAAATAAGCATGGAAGCAACATTGGCAAAGAGAGCTTTGTTCAACATCCCAAAGCTCTTGCCTCATGGTCCTCCTGGAATCCAATCTGCTAGAAATATCACCAGGGCTCGCTTATCTTCTGCCTTTGAGCGTGCTGAAGTATGAAATACACTCCTACTTTTCTCATGATTTTGTTAGGGCTATATATATATATATATATATATATATATTGGTTGCTTGAATTATATACAATGTAGGGAAGTAATGCGGTAGCCGAAGGGTCGTCGGATGACGCACCAAGTGACAGCATGTACGAGACGAATCCCTCGTTTGTCACCGGAGAAGGGAGGCCGCCCGCTAGCCAAGCGAGCTTTGGGGCGGACATGGAGAAAGACGGGATTAAGAAGGCGGTTGAGACAGCGGAGAATGTAGGGGATAGTGCAAAAAAGACCATGGATGGAGCTTGGAGAGCGGCTAAAGATGGTGCACAAGGTATCAAAGAACGAGTTCTGAACGACGTCGATGAGTTTGCAGAAGATGTAGCGGTGGATGAGATCAGGAAAGTGGATCAACTTGTTGATACCCGAGAATATAGAAGTATTGAGGAATTGAAGAAGGTAGACTGATGATATTGGAAGAAGATCCAAAGCTTATAAAATATGTTTATGATAATGCAAAATAAAATAAGGTAATATGTTTTTCGATAAATTCGTATACTTAGCAAACGATCCTACATAACTCAGATTAACTCTTTTTTTAATCGAGCCCCCATGGATTCATTTATTTTTATACATTTAAAAAACATAATTTAAATTTATGTTTAAAACGTTCCATATTTTTAGGTAATTTGAACAGCCAACAATTTTACCAAAAATAATTTATTAATAATATTTAATCTTTTGTGTGTCATTAAAACTTTCCTAAATCTATTCGAAAGAAAAAAGTACATACAACTAAATGATCGAATACACATGTATAAGATCGAATACACAACAGAGATCATTTTGCATATCATAATAGGTCGATAATATTCTCGATAAATTCATTAAGTTCGATTTTATCACATCTCTATATATCTTTGAGGTTTTACTCTATATATCATTTTATATACTTGGTTCGAGTAATAATATTTTTAACTTAACTCTATTTATCCTTGGGAGATATCCTTATTTAAGATTTGTATGTGTTCGAGCAGGCTATTTACCTGAATATTAAAAAAAATCTCTAAAATAGATAAAGATTTTACAATTATATCTTATTTTTTAATACATAAATTTTCATTCATATCTCAAAATGGAAAATTCCATGTTTAGTCCCTCTAAAAAGTAATAATTGAATTTTAGTTTCTTAAGCCTTTTGTTCATTTTTTTTAAAAAAAGAAGAGTTTTAACCCTCTCTGAGTAACTCGATTTAATTCATTTTGACATGATTTTTTTTAATTTTGATCCTCCCAAGATCTCATATTTATATCTCGACCCCCAACAAAATTTCTTAATTTTGCTTCTGTTAGAACTTAGTCTCCAAATTCAAATTATTGCTAGTTTGTAACAACAATTAGTACTTAGCCTCACGAGTCTAAATATATTTAAATTTGTATTTTTATTAACTAATTCCATGAAACATGGTCATCGTCTAAATATGGACCAAATCAAATCGAATCTTAACACATATACTATAGATCGAAATTAGAACAATAAAGGTGGATTGATCATCCAAATATACATATTTCTCAAAGGTCCAAAACTTAGCCATCGTCCGTTTCAAAACACAACACAAACATGTCATTTATATATTCACCTTTAACTAAAGAAAGCAGTGTATTGGTGGGTGCGCCAAATGATACTATGACTATGAGTCAATGCTTTGGCAAATTGAAAGAAAAATTCTTCAATATTTGTCGGTTTTTGCATGCATGCATGGGCTGATGAAGAAACCTGGAATCCGATACGCATGTCTACGTTAAACAATTAACTCAACTTTGCAAAAAGGACTCACTCGAACAGGAATGACATGATCGTCGAATTTGTTCGTGACAACAACGAAGAAGTTCATATGCCTCCAAGTTGTCTTCATCTACTTTGATTCCTTCTCGTATTTCGGACGTTTAATATTAATAGGCTTAAATATACAAAATGTGCCCAACGTATGCCCGCTTTTTCAGTTTAGTGCCTAACGTTTTTTCGTTTCAATTTGGTGCCTAACGTTTCTTTTCATTACTCAAAATAGGTCACGCCGTGATGGACCTTAGTTTTCTCCGTTAAGTGACATGTGTCACAATCTAGTAATTTTAAAAATTTTATTAAAAATTAAAAATTAAAATTATATATTTTTTAAAAAAGAAAAGACAAAATTTTTGAAATAACCCCTAAACTTTGAAAACCTTCATTTCAACCCCTAACCCCTAAACCATTCGGCCGCCCCTCTTCCAAGCTTGTCCGCTCGACAACGGTGGCTTATCAAACCGGTTGGGTTTTGGTCGGATAGGACCGGCGAGCTTAGCTTCGGTAGCGGTGAGGCAGAAAGTTTGCGGTTTTGGCCAGAAATCGCAAAAGTCGAACAATGATGGGGGCTTTTCGTCGGACTTTCAAATGCCACTCCACCACAAACGACAGTGATTGGAGGCGAGTGGATGAGCGGGCTATGATAGGTCCGGACTGCGCTTCCACTGGGCTAGGCGGTGATGACTCCCGACAAGCGGTGGTCGAGGTTGAAGGTGGGCAACCGAATGGTTTCCTTGCGATTAAGCTCGACGGTGACCGATTTCGGGTGATCTGAGGGCTGGGTTGAGGTCGTCAGTTGCTGATGAGTTCAGTGGGAGCGGCGATGTACACCACCACCGATCGTAGAAGGGTGGTTCAGTGATGGGGTTAAAGGTTAATGTGTTGAAATAAAAGTTTTCAAAGTTTTGGGATTATTTAAAAAAAATTGTGTTTTTTTTAAATATATAATTTTTATTTTTTTAATTTTAAATAAATTTTTTAAATTAATCAGATTGTGACACGTCTCATTTAACAGAGAAAACTAACGGTCCCTCACTACGTAACCCATTTTGAGTAACGGAATGAAACGTTAGGCACCAAACTGGAATGAAAAAAACGTTAGACACTAAACTGGAAAAAAAATGCATACATTAGGCATCTTTTGTATATTTAAGCCATAATAATAATAATACGAGCACGTTTCTTAAAAATAATTATAGTAGAACATAAGTGTTTTGATATTTTATTTTTGGTTTAATAGTTATGGAGAAGTTTGAGGTCTTAGTTTCAAATTCTAAGTGTATAGGTTTGGTATAAATGTATACTAATCTATAATGTTCAATTTCAACGTAGAACAGACAATATTTTTACAAAGCATATTGTTGAGAGAGACCCTAAGGAGAATATAAAGGGTGTCTCATCAAACAGCTGAATACCCTTTCTTTATATCATGGTTCTCACATCATAAATAGCATATCCTATAGTTGTTCCTTCACCAATTTCAAATATAATTTTTTTTTTATATATAAGGAAAAAACATTGATATATGTTCTTCTGAGAAGGAAAGAAAGAAGAGAAAATGTAAAACTGGGTTTGCAAAGTGACAAAGTTTACCATGTTTTAATGCTCAAATTGTGTTTTAGAGTTTGACGAAAGGGGAAAATATGAGGACGAAAAACAGAGAATCTATGAAGATGGAAATGAACTAAAAACTGAGAATGGTGGGGAATTTGGTGATATATACATATAATGGAGAAAAATGCGGCGGAAATGATATGTATGCATTTAGTGGTGAAAGATGCAGAGAATTTGTTAGTGTTAACATAGTAAAGAGATCACGATAAACATTTATAAAAGTCGTCGATCACGTGGTCTTATTCTTCTAGTTTATCTTCATAATTTCAATATATATATATATAACATCACTTAATTAAACTTCTAACTTTCCTTATATTGATATCTAGTTGGATAAAATTTATTGGTTGATTAAGTCAACACTTGTCATTGATGTTACAAGTCCTATGTGTCTAAAATAATGATATGATGCATACTACATCTCTAAAATGATGATGTGGCACATTTCATGTGTTCAAAAGGATGATGTGGCACATGTCGTGTGTTCAAAGTGATGATGTGACACATAATACATGTTTAAAAGTGATAATGTGTCTCATGTAAAGTGCCCAAAATGATTATGTGACGCATACCACATGATCAAAGTATAGATGGGTTGGTACATGTCACGTGTTTAAAGTGATAATGTGTCACACATCTAATCTGATTGTATGAAATGTATCCAAATTGATTATATGACGCATATCATATATTTAAAGTGATGATGTGACTCATGTCACATTAGTGATAAACATTGACACTTAATAATTGAATATTTTGTTAAACATTAGACTGGATTTTGACATTATATTTTCATTAACAGTATATAAAATAATAATCCAATGTACCTTAAATTAAGGTACTTTAAGATGGTTAAGAAGGAGTTGAAAGAAATTTGAGGGGCCATGGCACCTGCCGACCCCCTTACCTCCATCTCTCCACTTGATGATGATAAGTATGAGCTCTGCAAGTTATTGGCTGCAACAATTTTATCCAGTACCCTATATAGGACAATGGCCATGTGAAACTTGGTGTTATGTCAATGTCACAAATTTAAGGTTTTTATTTTTCAATCTTACCTTACCTCCCCCAATTTGCAGAGTCTGAAAGAGTTTTACATTCACCCATGCAATGTAATAACACACGTTGAAATCAATGGAAAAATAAAACATTAGTTCACGTCTGGTAAAAACGACAGAAGCAGATAAAGCATTGTCCAACTCCAACAGGCACGCACAAATTGGTTGCTTTTACAGTATTCATTTCGATGACCCTTTCTTTGATACGTCTCTCTTGTGAGTTAATTCAACTGAACCAATTGAATTTATAACTGAAAACTACTGCTTTTGAAAGAGCAATAATTGAGACTGTAATTTGCATATTTATTTATAACAAATCCAGATTCCCCCCAACAAGCTGCTTCCTTTATGGAACTCTCAATCATTCACCAGCAAAAATACTATACCGAATAATAGGATTACTTACAAGAAGATGTTGGTTGTGGTCCTCCACCCCCTTTTTGTTATGCTTTTTTTAAGTATTTATATCTCTCCATTTATCCTGAAATGGAAGCTTATAGGTTTGAGAAGAAACAAGGGTGGTTTGTGAGAAAAAAAACATGAATAGGGATTTAATGGCTGAAGATGTGGACAATGACATGGAGGAAGGTGAAGAAAGGGAAGAGGAAGAGGGGACTGTAGGTTATCCTGAAGATGAAAAGAAAAAGAAAGCATCAGGAAGGAGAGGGTCTGGTGGTGGTGGCGGTGGTGGTGGCAGTGGCGGCGGAGTGTCGTTGCCTTCTTGTCAAGTGGAGAATTGTGGGGTTGAGTTATTGGCTTCCAAGCGGTACCACCGGCGCCATAAGGTGTGCGAGATTCATGCTAAGTGGCCGGTTGTGGTTGTTTCCGGAATCAGGCAACGGTTCTGCCAGCAATGCAGCAGGTTTTGCTTTTATTTCTTTTATCATATGGTTGTTTCTTTGGTTCCACGCTTAGAAAGGTAATTACTTAACCTAGAAGTTAACCGGTTTGAGCTTTTCTGCTTTCATTGTATATGTTCACAGGTTCCATGAGCTATCAGAGTTTGACGAAGCGAAAAGGAGCTGCCGGAGTCGGTTGGCAGAACACAACGATAGGCGTAGGAAGAGCTCAGCCGAATCATCTGCCGAAAGAGCCAGAGTTCCAACAACAACAATCCCTGGAATTTCATCTTCTATGAATTCTCACATCAGATGAGCTTAAAAACCAAAATCTATTATCAACATGCAGCATGCTCCCTCTCTTCTGTCTTTCAACGGTTCATGTCTCGCACTTTGTAGTAGTTGTTTACCATACTATAACGTAAGATCTAATAATAGCAGCTTCGGAATCTTGTTTTCTCGCGGCTTGCCTTGTCGTCGAATCTACGCTTTCTGTACCTATGACTCTGTATCCATGGAGACTACTATTGTATCAATGATCATATGCTACATAATTTCCTATGGCAGTTGCATTCAAGTAAAGGATATGATGACACATTTTGAGAGGCGAGTATTATGCACATATTTGACCATTTATCAGTAGCAAAATATCGAACCAGTGATGGATCGATGAGATTCGGAAACAACATAGACTTCCATGGGATGATGGGATTTCCCCTCCACTAAATGATAGCCATGCTTAATGTTCTTGGACATCTTGCTTCTCCCTTCCCCGGATCACAAACTATCATTGCCTTCACCTATCACTGAAAAATTAATGCAAAAAAAAACTTTTCTTCTTTTGAATTTCTTAAAAAAAACTTATTGAAACTTGTAAAACTTTTGTTTAATCTAGTTCGTTAACTCAATATTTATAGAGGATTTCCAAGAGATATTTACTCCAATAAGATATCTTTTAATATTCAAATTTGAATAGTTAATAATATATTTTAATTTAAAATATTTAAAATTATATAATTATCTTTAATATTCAAAATTAAATAAATAATAAATATATTTAATTTGACATATTCAAAAAAATAATTACCCTACTTATATTCAAATTAAAAATACATTTTAATTAAGAAAAACCCTAGTAATGTAGGTTTCCTCTGAAGGCGGCGTATCCTTCCAATTTCCTAGGAAGCATCGAAGACTAGATGATAACCAACTGATCGAGATGGTTCTACCGGCACAAATCCCAAGGATTCTAATTCTGCCCCCTCTTACAAAGACTCACTCATGAAAGAAAGCGGCGTGGTTCCAAACGAATCGGAAGAGATTATGGATGGAGATGATATAGACCTCGAAGAAGGCGATTTCACCAGAGGCAGGCTCCAAAGACTGTAATTTCAATAGTTTTTTTTGAAAAAGGTCCTATCCTTGGGTGAGAAAAGTCTTGTCCAAACTGTGGTTGTCAAATTATTGGGTCGGAGAATCGGGCATACTAACCTATGAAACAAGATTTACGAAATCTGGAAGCCGTCGCAGCCAATTAAACTCATGGACATCGAGAATGATTATTTTCTAGTCACCTTTGGCATTCAATTAGATTATCTTAAGGCTTTATCAGAAGGTCCTTGGACGAGAGATTTAAATAGTGGAACTTAACTATAATAGCGGCCGTTATTTGTGGTAGCATCGTCGTCCGAAATTGATATTCGGAAAAATTACATGGGTAGCGGAATCACGTCAATAGCGACAACGTTGAAACCTTACGTGCATCGTCGAGCCGAAACCTTATGTGTATCGTCAAACTTCTCCGCCAGTGAAAAAGTTAAGCAGCAACGACTGGCTTCCACTTTGTAGAAGATGAATCTTGAAACTTATTTTTCTTTGTTTCAAAAAATGAAAGGTCGAGGGGGAGGAAGGGGAGAGGAGTTGAGACTGTATACCACATAGTTTTCAGCTGGGCCTGATGAAGAATTGTCGAGGCTAGGAGCAGGTGCCTCAGTTGATGAAGACGGTGGGCTCGAGGCCAATAGTGATACTTGGCTTTCGGATTGCTAGGTGCCAATGTTGAAACCGTGGCTGGTAGTGATTTGAGTTAGAAAGTACACTTTTTTTTTGTTTTAGAAAATGAAAGGTTGTGAAGGGAAGGGGAGTTGGCACATTTGTTTCATTTTTTTATTTTTTAAAATAATTTTTAAAATATGATATATTAATTTAACATCCCTCATACCTTTTAGAATTTATAATCTAATCCTTAATTTAGAATATAAACTTTAATTTTTATTTAATTTAGTTCTAATTTCAGTAATATAAATTTATGTAATTTAAAATTTACATTTTTATTTTAACTATATTTAATTTAGTCATTTTATGGTAAGTTGTGTTATATTTAAAAAAATTCACAACCGTAACACCTGTAATATAATCCGTTATGTATGTAACCGTAATAAAGTCGACGCGACGAAAATATGACTGCAAATACTATTTAAATCACTGCCCGCACTGATTTTGGTCACTACCTCACGGTAGAACCATGGTCCCCCGACTTCTCCTCCTCGGACCCGTACCCGAAGATGGTGACAGCGTGGATAAGACTGCCGAAAATGGGTGAGTGTATTGGTCCCGTTATTAAAGATCGACTTTCAAACCGAAAATGGCAGGAGAGGCCGTTTTGCTCGGATGGCGGTCACTATTGACCTCAGTAAACCCCTGATATAAAAAATTATCATCAACAGGAGGACTTAAATTATCCATTACAAGTCGCTACCCAGAGTTTGCTTTCAATGTGGTAAGTATGGCCACTTCAGGATGGCTATCGAGGAAGCCAAGCGAAACCACAAACTGAGAACTCCAATGGCGATTCTACTGTAAACGCGCAATCTCCGCATAACAGCCCTTTTGGTCCATGGATGGTTGTCGAAAAGAAGCAATGCCGAAACACTAAGAAGCCTGATCAGACTCCTGGCCGAACTAATGGTATAGCTTTTAGAGAGTCTCGTTTTAATCCGATTTTTAAGGTGGAGAGTGAAGACAGTCCAGACCAGAACACTTCTGATGCGCCACAGCCTACTCCTCAGGTTCAGCTGCAAGCCCCACCTGCTAATACGAAATCAACCAGAAAAAACAAAGGCAAAACTCCTATTGCTGTCACTACCCTTCAAGCCTTCAAAGTCCGTAAGCCCTTGGTTACAACCCTCGCTGATTTCTCGATTCTCCCTTGGCAGCAAAGCAAAGCCGGAAGTTCCCGGTTGTCTTCTAAGGGTTCCCTCTCAGGCTCTCAATTGAATGGTGCTAAACATTCTGTCGTTATGTTGAACGAAAACTCTGACCCTAATATATCATCTCCTTCAGTGCATCTCACGTAACCAACCAGAAAAGGACCCACCTGATATGAAAACTTCCAACTCTAGTGAGTAATCGAAGCACGATAATTCTGCCCAGATTGAACATGTTGACCCTGTAATTCCTTCAACTGCTGGTTGCAAATGCTCCTAGAGGTGACCATGCCGTGGCTATGATGGAATAAGCACGGTATTTCCCTTTTTCAGACTGTTTTCTTTATGAATCTTAAAATTATATCTTGGAATGTTCAGGGCTGTGGGCACTTGAGGTTCCTTCCTGCAGCTAAACAATTTTTGCATGATTATAAACCAGATTTAGTTTTGTTTGTTGAGCCACGTATTAGTGAGCGCAAAGTCTGTTATTGCGTCTCTCGGTTTCCCTAATTCTCATCGAATTGAAGCCGTGAGTTTCTCAGGAGGAATTTGGCTTGCTTGGTACGACTCTATTTCTGTGGAGATTATTCTTAATCACTTTCAATTCATTCACTGCCAAATCTTACGAAAGGAGGACAGTGGAATTGTTTTTGCAATTGTTTTCTATGTTAGTCCGTGAGCTTCTGGTCGTAAACTCTTATGGCCTCACTTGTGTCAGCTTGCCGCCTCTATTCGGTCACCTTGGGTTCTCTTTGGTGACTTTAATGCTACCATCACTGAGAAAGGGTTGCGCTTCCACTACTACCCCGAGCCATGCTGTTCAGAATCTCATTTTTTATTATGGGTTGCAGGACATAGGTTATCATGGGCCGGATTTTACTTGGAATCGAGGTCTAGTTCACACCCAGCGTGATCGCTTCATTTGTAACTCTTATTGGGATAAATCTTATCCTGATTCGATTGTGCACCATCGAAGGAGCCTCACCGAATCATCACCAAACACTGAAGGGATTCAGACATATAACATTCAAAAGAGGAGGATCAGAGAAAAATAAAATAAAAGGAAAAAAATAGAGAGATCTCATTTGAAAATTAAAAAAAAAAAGGAGTACAATAGTTAATTAATTGTATTCGTTTGATATACGTATTTAAATTGTCTTAACTTATATGTGTTTAAAAGGGGTCTTAAATTAAATTTCATTTGAATTTATAAGTTTTATAAGGACAACTAATTAATTAATTAGGTATCAATTTATGGCATTATGGGTGCTACATCACTCAGGGAGCATGATCTTTATGCTCTCAATCGAAGTGGTGTTTGCTCTCAGTTTAGTCTTATTTGGATGACATCTTGGTGTGTGATTTTGGCTGTTGCTTGATTTGTCTAGCGTGTCAGAAGAAGGTTTTCACAACCTCACCTAGGCTTGATGAAAATAATTGACCGTGGGGTTTTCTTAGTACTGTCAATGTTTGGGTTTGTGTAAGGGCCACAATGTCGCTTTGGTGTTTGTTTCGTTAATGTATTTTGTAGTTGTTAATGCACCTGGTTGGTTAAGAGTACTCTTTTCTTCCATCTAAGGTTAGGGAGGCTCTTAATGATGCTCTTCACTTAGGTTTATTTAATAAAAAAAATCTACCTTGCCGAAAAAAAAAATCAAGGATGATAATATATTTGGTTTTAATCTTAAAGTTCTTACCAAAAAAAACAAGGGTAAATTACACTTATCATCACTGTCCTTTGTCCTTTTTTTCTAGTTTACTCACTGTACTTTAAAACTGGCAATTCTCATTGAACTTTATGCATTTAGCGTTTTTGGTCATTAAACTTAATAAAATTAGTTTTTGGGTCACTGAGCTGTTAACGTCATCATTGGTAGGGTTTTTGACGAAACTTCGATCAGTCCTCGATGGCGAACGGCGACACTTCACGGAGCGGGGTCGATAGGGGTTTTATCGGAGCAAGAAGATGCTTCTAATGCCATATGCGGCGACATTCACCGACGAGTTTTACCAGACGACGTCATAACGCAATTTGTCAGGGAAATGGCTGAGTGACCAATTTTGTCAAATATATTAAGTTCAGTAATGAAATTGATCAATTTTAAAGTATAATGATTAAAATAAGAAATACAACAAAGTACAGTGATGATCCGTGTAATTTACCCAAAAACCAAAAACATGTATTATTGTATGTATGAACTCACTCACTCAAGATTCAATCTTTATGGTCAAAAGATTAAAAAAAAAAGCTCTATTTTGAGTCATTTAGGGCCCACATTCAACGATATTGTTTAAGCTCTCACGCGTGCTACATTAAGCTCGAGTCGGCAAGAAATGAACACCAACACAAAAGGAAACTATTCAAATCACCCAACAAGGTTCCCCTTAGAGCTTCGTTGCAGGAAGTAGTAGTTCGTGTGGGACGAGCAGGACGAACAGCATCAATAGCAAGGATCCGTTGATGTCTTCGAGAAGTAACAGCACGAACAGCAGTGCACGGACGAGCCCTAGACAATTCGGAGAGTTGTTGTTGCAAGATCCATACATGTAATAATAAAGCAAGCGAAATGGTCACGGCTCAGCTATATGGGGATTCTCAGATATGGCAGTACATTACGGCGGTGCCTGTTCTGAAACGTGAGGCTTCCAGGAGGAAGAATTGTGGGGTCGAGAGGAAAGATGCCTTGAGAGGCAAGAAAAAAGTGACCATCATCAAGAAAGGAGTGCCACGAAGGGATGAGGAAGTAAATTAAGTTTCATGCAGGGTGAAATCAAAACCAAAATAAAAGTTGAATGATAATTGATAATTTTTATTCATTGATCTGAAATTATAAAACTTAGGAGAAAGTAAACTACAAAAGGATTAGAAATTCTAGTTTAATGGATCAAGAGAGAGATTTAAAAAGAAACATCAAAGAAAACAAAGGAGTTCAGCAACTAATGACAAATCCTTTAGCGTAAATACAAAAGCTTACCCTATCGTCCCTCTAATACAAACCCTTCATTTCAAGAAGGTATCCATTGCAGCAGCATACATCCCTGCGTCGGAGTTTCGAAACTCTGCCGGTTGATGCTGACGATGATCCAACAATGTCCAAGATGAAGACGCGGCCATTCTTGCAGGTAATGTAAAGCTCCTCTTAAACTTGTTTTCCATCTTCCTTATATTCTCCGTACGGCTATCCAAGCTCAAGAACTCGGTAGGGTTCGCACTGGCATCCGGGTTCCGATTAGAATCTTTTCCCTCAACGATAAAGGGATGGCAGTCTGTGCCCGGTTTGGACCCTAAGCTCTCCGGGTTAACTGAAAGGTTGGTGTCTTCGCCTCATCCGGTGAGAGCGTTGAAGAAAGTCAAGCCATTAGGCCATTTGATGTCATTTTTGTGTTCATTCATCATATCTTCCATTCTTGTCTCAGATGAATGGGGCATGAGAAAAGTGTTGGTCTCATCTTTGGCCTGTGGAAATCCGAGTCTAACTGGGTTCTGATAATTAGATGAAGTATCCATCGGAGCTGCCGGTGGAATCGGCCTCTGGTTCCAGCCAAATACTGAAGGCTGTGGAGGCCAGGTCGGAATGGCAGAATGCTTTGAAGGAACCGTAGACGACAGTGAACCATTTCTGTTCGACGAAAACATCTGAGAGAGAGAGAAACCGGATTGATAGCCAAGTGATTCAAAGGTATGCCTCATTCTTAGCACAAAATGGAGATCTTCACGTATCTGAGGACATACATACATCAAACATTTATAAATGCACACAAATACACGAGATCAAAATCATCATACATTACAGCAACTACCACTAATGGGGGGGAAATGCTATTATCAGACTCACGATCTTGCAAGAACCCAACTGGAGAAGACCTTGGCCAGCTTGAATAACAGCAATTGTCTGGTCAAGAGAAAATCAAGAATGACACGAAAACACATGTTACTCGAACTTTAGTATAAACATCGAAGTCGACATGGAAACTTACACAGAATCGGAGTAAGATAGACAAAAACAAACCAGAAAAAGACTAACAACAGTGAAGAAGTAGTAGTTACTGAGCAGACCTGAATCCCAGAGTCAAATTGATCAGTCCATTCAGGGGGGAGCTGCAAATTAAATACAACAAAGGGGGAAAGTCAACAACTTACCATTCCACCATAAATACACAGCCTTACTTCAAGAACAGGGCAAACAGTTTAGATTTTAACAACAAAAAGAAACAGGTGGGGTATTTATTGTAAACATACAGCATCAAAAGAACTCTGCCAATAATTGGATACATTGGGCTCAAATTCTGTTGGTTCTTTGAACACCCATTTATGGCACTTATCTGATGCAACTTTCCCCATTAACCTGTTCATTAATCATATTTTCAACCAACCAAAAACATGCACCAAGGAAAAATAAAAATCTATTTTTTTTTTCCATTTTTTTAAGGCTAAATCTAATGAAATATTTAATAGCACCTACCCAGTACCCACCCTTCTACATAATTATATAACTGAATGGATAATTTGCTGAAAGCTTTCTTCACTGGATCTTCTCCATCGATCTCTTCTAGATAATCAGTCACTCTTCCTCGGCAAAATCCATCTTCCCACATCAGCATCCTTCACCATGTAAAAAAAACGGGGGGGTGGGGGAAATCAAAATTTACCTGAAAATTATTTATAAAGTTGCTAAATTTGGAAATTAAAATACCTCCAAATCATAGTTTAACGAAAACCCATATCATAAAATCAATTAAATAACTCAAAATCCCTCATTAACCAAATTTCCCCTGTTCCTATAAGGAAACAAGCAATGCCTGACTCCGAAGTTGTTCATATTTCCTGTGTTTTGTCATTAACTTAATAGTCAAAAGTTTGCAACACTTGAAAGCTCTGAAGTTGTTTCATTTTCCTCTGGTTTCTCCGGAACCAAACAAGCAGAAAAATGAATTTGAAAAGGCAAACCCCAAAACCATACTTACAAGCTGCCGTTTTCATCCCCGACCTTGCAACCATTACCCCCCTCACTCGCCTACACCAAAACAAAGAAACCCGATTTAGTAAAACAGGTGAGAAAAGTAAATTAAAAAGAGAAAAAAGTGAGAGCATGTCTGAGTTGAGACAGACGGTTCTAAGTGCCTCGTGAAGGGCCATCATCCCTACAGCTTCTTTGTTCCTATCTGCTGAACCTGATCCATCCATCCATCCATCCATCCATCCGAGAAAGAAAGCAACTTTCTTCGATATACAGTAGTGTATCCATCCATCCATCCATATGAGAAAGGAAGCAACTTTCTTCGATATACAGTAGTGTATGCTGCTGGTTTTGACACCTCTTTGGTTATATAAACTTTGGGTAAGCTCATACTGGCTTTTTAGTCTTTTTATTTTGTGTACCTTCTTTTTCATTTTATCTCTTTTATCTGCTTATTAACTACAAAGTAAAGCCTTTCCTTTCCTCCCTCTTACTATCTCTCCATCTTTATCTTTTACCACTCAAAAAAAAATTAAGTTTCGGAGTGTCCTGATGAAGAAGACTTCGCCAACTTTTTATAATATTTAATTCTTTTATGATTCATTATTTTTAAAACTGCGTTTATAATTACAATTAACTACAAGATATGGCACATTGATTATCTTATCATTTAATTATGCAATTGGATTCTTAATAAAAAAATTATGTAATTGGATTCTATGCATAATATCTATTTTTTTAATAACTTAAAGTTAGAGATTATTTTAAATAATTTATATTTTTACAATCATATTACTCTTACCTCATAAAGTTATAAATAATTAATATATTGAATATTAAAACTATAAATTAATTTTAAATACTCAACTCTTTGTATATTATTATTATATTTATAATTTTAAGTAAAGTATAAAAAATAAGAATTGAAAATGATCATTATAAAAAGAATTTATTAATCTAGGGGTATTCTTGTCCAAAGGGGTGAGAATTTGTCTAATACCTAAGAAGTTGGAGATAATGATTCATGTCATTCTGGTAAAAATATTTTCTGTGAATCAAACGTGGGAATGTAATTCCGGAAAATATTATTCCCCTTGGTAATGTTATTTTCCGCGAACCAAACGTCTCCTTAGAGTTATAGGCATGAATCAATTTATCATTGTGGTTAAAGGAATCGTTGTTGTTCCTAGAAGTAATGGGTTCGAACACCAGCGACAGTAGCAGGGTGATTGAGCGGTCATTGTCAAATGGTTGAAAGTATTTAGAACATATATTACTTTATAATCACATTAGCTTAATAAAAAAAACTTTTAGGTTATAAATGGGTCAAGTTAAGTTCAAATATTGTTGAGCTTGATTCAATTTGAAAAGTTTAAAGTTAAGCTCAAAAGTTGATTGAATTTTAACCGAATTAAACTCTAATAGTTTATAATCTATCTCATCTCGTTTATACCCCTAATGGCTAGTTTAGTTCATAGATGAGATTTAAACTAAAATAAAATATGAACTAAAAACTCATTCATACGTTCGCGTATGAAGCAAACTGAGTTGGGAAGACCGCCCCCATAATAAACCTCTATAACACCATGTCTAAATTAGTCGGTCAATAGATCATATACAAATTATTCATTAAAAAAAACATACATAACATTGTATGCATGATAAAACTCGAATTCTAAAATTTCAAAATTATCAAAACTTTAATCTTATCATAAAATCAATTTATATTTTAAACATCTTAAATGATGGTATAATTGGTATAGAAAATTAACGAAATCAATACTAGACTGTATTTATTAATTGTGTTGCATTTATACTTTAGTCAATATGATTAAGTGTTGATGCAATCTAAGAAAGTTTTGTCAACATGATTTGATTTTATCATTGCATAATTAGGCTAATTAAAAGTGAGGCAATGTGGATTAAACAGTGTAAAAGTAATTGGCATCATGATTTTATTTATTTTTAAAATTATTATTTTTGGGTAAAAGTTAATTCATTTATTTTGTAAAATAAGATTATACAACGAGGCTGTTAAAAGAAATCCAGCCAAATAATATGATAAAAATTATTTTTTACTGTATGTATCACATTATTATATATTTAATAATAACACTAACAATCAATTAATCTAGTGAGACGAAGTATTATATCCTTTAAGTAAGGTTAGAGAACTTGAATCATAACGTTTGTGAATGGAGCAAACTGGATTGCGAGAGTCACTCTCGGCTTTGTATTATCTAATTCAGATTAGTTTATCAATGGATTAGATACTGATATGTATACCAAAAATATATATATTTAGTAATAATGATATATTGATTGTTTAAGAGAAAAAATAATCTTAATATTGAAAGGGTAAATTACACCAATCATCACTGAATTTTATTCTATCTCCTATTTCACTCATTGTACTTTAGATATGTTCAATTTCCTCACTGAATCTAATACAATTAGTAGTTTTGGTCACTCAACCGTTTTCTCACTAAACGTTGTTATAAATGAGCCGTTACATAGATGCAAAATAGCGTTGTTTTGGTGAAAATTCTATTTTTCGAAAACGGCGTCTTTTTAACCCCGTTAAATATTTAAGGACCGAATAACCAAAAATACTAATTGTATTAAATCCAGTAAGGAAATTGATCAGGTTTAAAGTATCGTGAATGAAATGTGAGAGAGAATAAAATTCAATGATGATTGTTGCAATTTATCCATTTTGAAAATATAAATTTCTGAAAGTAAAAGATTAAAATATTAAATTAAATAAGATTTTAATCAGAGCTTTAAGTAAACAAATAAACAAACACGAAAAAGAAAAGCTATGTGAATCAGAGAGTGAGTGGATGATTAGGGGGTCACGTGTGCTCGTGCCATCGGCAATGAGTCGGTGCCTCGTTTCTCGTAAACAAAAGCCAAAGAGCACGAATTGCGGAGGAGCTGCTGCCCTGCAGCATCCCCTTCCACCACCACCCTGCGGAGAAGCTGATGGGGTAGTTAAAATATTTAATATAATTACATATTTGGTTATTGTTACTTATATATTTTATCAATTTGGTCCTAATTTTAATAAATTAAAATAAACTTAACTCTCAAATCTTTAATTTTAAAAATATTTTAAAAGTTATGACATATTCTATAATTATAACAAAACAAAATTTTTACTAGAAATTCTATTTATAGTTATCAGAAGCATTCCGTCAACGGTACCATAACTTCTTTTGGTATTAAGGAAAATATAGTTGATTAGTCAATGCATATAAAGTTTGTTGGACAAAATTTTTATCCTACTACTATTTGTCAATGACATTTTAACAAAATCTTTTTCGAATCGAGTTTATGAAATTACAACTTGAAGTCAACCCGAGTCGTCAAGTAAAAAAATTGATTTTTCTAGTCGAGTTTTTCTCAATCCTACCGTGTGCCGTGACCGTTTAAATCATGAATCATGGTTAATGAAAAAGAATAGTAAAGTTGATGCCTTTCTTGAATTTCAGGTTTGACAAAGAGCCGAACAAAGAAGTTGCTATTAAAGTTATTGATTTAGAGGAATCGTGAGTGGAGACCTCTGTTACATTTTCCTTGATTTCTTCCTCATTCTAGTTTTTGTAGTGCATTTACAGTTCTGCATTTCTTATGATTAAACATTCTTATGAACTGAAAACCGAAGCTGGAAATGAGTAAGACTCGAGAACCCTGATAAACCCTCGAGTCCGTGGAGTTTCACCGGAGAGATCATTGGTAGCGATCTTGAAGAACCGGTTAGAGTCCATATATGAGAAAATAAAAAGAAAATAAAAGCCATTGATTTCAGTGGTTATCGTTGTGTCACCGTCTGTGGAAGGGATGCTTCTAACAGCTACGTGCTGCTGCACTTAGAGATCAACCAAACTAAAGGTCTGTTATCATTTGGTCTTCTATAACTAAATATGTATAACACAATCAGCCAAAATATAGCTATATGCAAGTCTCAGATAATTGCAAAAGTTGCATCCTTTTAATCGAAATCCATCGGATAACGTAAGGCTCGCTTGAGTTGTCTCCTAGATAAGCAGGGACTCTCTTCGGAATATAAACTTGGTAACTCACCTGAACGACACCAAAAAGAACAACATTATGATTGAAACTTAAAAAGTGATTGATTAATCGAGTACTACTGGGGTTAAAACCGAACCTGCACCATTTCCCCACCCCGCATTACGGACATTGTCTTTTGCTGAAATTGTGAACCACCCTTGGTCTCATCTTCCTGTTTATCTGAGCTAATGTTTCCAGAAAGGGATGGCTTATCACAAATAGAATCACTAATATCATTATCTTTACCGTCTAGATTACCACGCACTTCGGGACTTTGGGCAGTTCTTAAATTAATCTCCTTCACACTACTCTCGGTTACAAGCTTGGCTCGAGGAGGTTCTAGTGCAGCAGATTCTTGTTTTTGGGTGCTGCAAGTATTAGGTGGTTCCTGTCCTATTCGCAACTTAACAGATTTCGGCCTACTAGAAACAGAAGCTGCATTGTCGGTGGAGGATTTTATGGTTTGAGCAGTTTCTAAATCACTCTCACCTACACTAGTTTCAGTTACCAACCTGGCCTGAGAAGGTTCTTGGGTAATGGCTTCTTGTTTCTGAGTATTGCTTGCATTAGATGATTCAAGTCCGGTTTGTGATATAACCAACGTTGGCTTATTAGAAACAGAATTAATACCTGTATTACCTTCTTTTCCAGGCATACCAGTGGGAACCAACCGAGCTGATGGGGAAGCGACATCAAGCCCCGGAGTCTCGGAACATTTTCCATCATTACAGGTATTTGTCGTGTTCCTATCATCCTTGGGGAGAGTTGATGAGTCTCTTCTAACTGGACGCCGTCTAATCTGTTGGCTCACTTGGCTTGCTATCACCACTCTACCATCATCTGCTTCAGGGGCTTTGATCTGAAACGAGTCATTGTTTACAGAGGATGGCGTTTTAACATCATCAACTCTCTTATCATTCGAAGTAATTGGAGAATTAATGTTTTTCTGGAGCTCACCACGAAATTTTTTTAAGTTTTCAAGTGCACGTCGTCTTAAAATTGATTCAATATTATCACTAATTAAACCATCAGTGGCACTTGAAACATTAATTTCTTCAACATTGCTCGTTCTGATATTAGGAACTTCTACTTGCTCATCATCTGGAGGCTTTATCTTCTCGGATACAGCATGGATATGTTGCTGCAACTCCCCCCGACTACAGCCGTCATTACTATCATTGCTTCTGCAGGATGGATAATCATCATAATCATATACATCTTCTTTAGGCTCATCAGC